ACATCTGCTACTGTAATGTTAAATTAAAATTACCAAAGTTAATTGATTAAAAAGTCATGCCCCTTGCATCAGTCAGATCATATCCAATTCTACCAGGTATAAACTTGCACACACATAGACTAGTGCGACTAATGGCCTGCATGCACGACATCGAACACGTGCACCATGCAGGGTTGCCACTGGTGGCTACTTTTTGCCAAATTGGCAAATTTGAGAGGCCTATGGCGGCTTAAAATTACGCATGGCGACATGGCAAATTTTGGCAATTTTCGACTTAAGTGTCGACTGAGTTATGCATTCGATACTTAGTGTCTTCAAAAGAAATGGGCGACAAAACTGTTTGTTTTTGCAGTTTCAGGCCCACTGGTACCAGGCGCACTTAACGCACAATTTAGTATGTCCGTCTTGTTTCTTGTGTGTATCTCCTAATTTACCTAGGAAGGTAATGGTGCACTGGTGTGTCCGCCAGCAATTTCCCTGCAAAATTTAGGTCAGTGGACTGGTTCGCGTGCAGCAGGGCGGTGGTGGTATACTACGTTTTGACGTGCTTTCAGAGCTTTAAACTTCTTCTAAGTTTCGCTTCTGAAGTGGCTAGGGGACGGTAAGGCTGCCTGTTCTGACCACAGCTTCAAGTGTCGTAAATAGCTTGTAAACTTCTTCCCTGATGTAGTACCCCTTAATTTTGTATATTGAGTTCAAATGTTTTTATGATACTTTTTGTGTGTACTAACAAGTCTAGCTTCATCGAGCAGCCTTCAAAAATCTCAGTGGGGTGAATGTACAGTAGACTTTCAGTAGCAGAACCTGAAGGGACCGAGAAAATATGTTCCATTTAACAGGAGTTCCGTTTACTGAGAGGTGAACATGGCTGCAGAATACAAGCCCGAAACCAAGTTCAATTTAAGCAGTAGTTCCGCTTAAAGATTTTCATTTACTGAGAGTCTACTGTATATCGTAAGCACGACCAACCATACAGCTTTGTGTGGACATTGCGATGGTTTGCAATACTTTTAAATTTATTTCAGTTGCTTTGTGAATAAGTTGCAACAATTACACAATAATTTCAAATTTATTTTTGTTGTTTTGTAATTAGGTTATTCGATTATCGGATACATGATTTCACAGTAATGAAATTCTCTAAATCTGCATGCCAATTTCTTGTTGTAGCGATTGCTTCATCCGGTACTTGCTACAACAAAAGCCATCATAAGCTTTTGTTATCACGCGCATTCAGGGACGCTGCTAGTGGATGCATGCCCTCTTTTACAGAGCTCCCATGGTGAAGCAGGTGATATGACTGGCTTTGAAAAACGTCAATATAATTCAGGTTTCACGGTTTGTACCTTATTCCTCGAGGCCGCACATAATTAGGAATTTTTATTACTAGCCATGCCACAAATAGTAGAGCGGCAACTTTTTCAGCAAAATTTGAAGAAAAATGGCTACTTTTAGCGACATTCTGCTCGTTGTTTGGCGACTTTAACTCGAAAGTCAGTGGCAACCCTGGCACCATGTGACACCAATAATAATGTGCAGTGCACTGAACCCATCCATAAACCCCTCTATAGTTAGTATTTTTCTTATACTGAATTGAAATGGAAGAAAATCGAGACCTGAACCACACAAGGATTCTTCCAACCTGTTTGACACCTCACTCATATAAAACATAAATCATGTGCAATGCAACATCACCTATGAGCTTTAATACAATGCATTCTAAACTAGAGCATATGTGCAGTCACAGCTGGTCTGGAGGCATGCGCTCGCACCCTTATTTTACAGCCTGAGCAGCACCGCAAGTACAATGAAGCTTCTTTCTCTACACAGTTCCAACAGCGTGAGGGCGTCACGAGCCGACTATCCAAAGCGCATTTGTTGCATACTATTCATATTGTAAAGCACCTGTTCATGGCCGCTTTTTCCTGCTAATTACTTCTCACTCGTAAGAAGCAATGGGAGTAGAAGATGTGCATGTGGGGACAGCCTGGGTTTTTCGGCACTCATGCGCTCGACAAATGAACAAGCACACGCTGTGCTACCATAAGTATTATTTTTTGAAGTTCGAACACCTTATAATAAAATAATTAGAAAATGCTTGAGGCCTGTGTCCTTAGATTTAGGTGTACCTTAAAATCCCCAGATGGCAACTTTTTGGAGCGTTCACTATGGCGGCCATCATAATCATAGTGCTTGTTTGGGACGTTAATCCTGAACAACTATTATTGTCACCAAATAATGCCACAAACAGAAAAGTGAATGCAGATGATGTGGTGGCCTGTCATTTGCATCATCTGTATTCAGATGCGTGAGAATTCACTTCAAGTGGCGAAACAACTGCCCCATCACATATTACCAGCATTTAATGCAGTAATTTTAACTCTTTGGTTAATTGGCAGTAGTACAGTAAACTCAGTAAATGGAACCTGAAGGGACCGGGAAATTATGTTTCATTTAACAGGAGTTCCGTTTACTGAGAGGTGAACATGAGTGCAGAATACAAGCCAGAAACCAAGCATTGCTAAAGCAATAGTTCTGTTTAAGCAGAAGTTCCATTTAACGGATTTTTGTTTTCAGAGAGTCTTCTGTATGAATGGCATGCTGATGCATATATAGCCATGTGTGTCCTTTTGCTCAGTTTCTACAATAAGATGTGTCATCTCATCTGTATGGTGAGCTACTTACTGGTGTGCTTGCTCATGTTGTTTGGCACAATATTAACGAGAACTAACAGAAAACACTGCCAAGGAAAGTGTAAAGGATATTAGTAGTAAATGTACTGTAAATGTGAAGAAAGAAAAGCAGACAAGAAGATAGGTTGCTAGGGCAGGCACAGACCCCTGCGACCTTCGAATGTGTCCGTTGCTCTACCAACTGAGCTACCACTGTCCCACCCGTCCACTTTAAGGAGTTATATATCTACAGTCAACGCCACCAGTAGCTTTGATGACGAGGGCTGAACACTTTTTCTCTGAATGTTAGCGTCCCGTAGCATGCAATCTTATTACAAGCTGGCAGCTGACCAATAATCCTTCTCATACTATCTGAAAGCAAGAAGCCTGCCAGAATGAGACCTATGCTATGAATGAAGGAAAGTCGAAATTTTCAGGGCTCATTTGATGTTTCTGTTTGACCCAATACCAATTAGAATCAAAAGACAACAGTGCCAAAGAAAGTATAGGGGATGCTATTAGTAGTATATTTAATGTGAATGTGAGAAAAAGCAGACAGAAAGCTAACTTGCTGTGGGCAGGGACCAAACCTGCGACCTTGGAATAACGTGTATGATGCTACCCCCCCCCCCCCCCCATCCATTTCATGTGGTATATATGTGTACTATTTGAATGTGGAAACGTCAATCAGTTAAAATTTCTACTTCTTTCCTTTGCTCATGCTGTTTTCCTCTGTGTGGCATGTAGTTAATGCAGAAAAAAGTATTCCGCACTCGTCGTCATAGCTACTGCGGTGCTGACTGACGATCCGAAATTTAAATATATATACCCCTTGAAGTGGACAGATGAAATAGCCGCCATGGCAGTTCACTTGGTATAGCATCAGACACATTCGAAAGTTACAGGTTCGGTCCCTGCCCACAGCAAGTTATCTTTCGGTCTGCTTTTCTTTTTTGACATTTCCATTACATTTACTATTAATATCCCCTATACTTTCCTTGCACCAGAGTCTTGGAAGAACGCTAACATCATCTTAATACATAAGAAAGGAGATGACAAGGACTTGAAGAATTACAGGCCGATTAGCTTGCTCTCTGTAGTATACAAGCTATTTACAAAGGTAATTGCTAACAGAGTAAAGAAAACATTAGAATTCAATCAACCAAAGGAACAAGCAGGATTTCGAACAGGCTACTCAACAATCGACCACATTCATACTATCAATCAGGTAATAGAGAAATGCTCAGAATATAACCAACCACTATACATAGCCTTCATAGATTACGAGAAGGCGTTTGATTCAGTAGAAATATCAGCCGTCATACAGACACTGCGGAATCAGAGCGTAGATGAAATATATATAAACATCCTAGAAGAAATATACAGGGGATCAACTGCTACCATAGTGCTTCATAAAGAAAGCAACAGAATACCAATCAAGAAGGGTGTAAGGCAGGGGGACACAATCTCCCCAATGCTATTTACCGCGTGCTTAAAGGAGGTTTTCAGAAGCCTAGAATGGGAACAGTTAGCGATAAGTGTTAATGGAGAGTATCTTACTAACCTGCACGTCACCGATGACATTGCATTGCTGAGTAACTCAGGGGACGAATTGCAACTCATGATTACGGAGTTAGACAAGGAGAGCAGAAAGGTGGGTCTTAAAATGAATCTGCAGAAAACGAAAGTATTGTACAACAACCTCGGAAAAGAGCAGCGCTTCAAGATAGGTAATAGTGCACTTCAAGTTGTAAAGGACTATGTCTACTTAGGGCAGGTAATAACCATGGAGCCGAACCACGAGATTGAAGTAACTAGAAGAATAAGAATGAGGTGGAGCACATTTGGCAAGCACTCTCAAATTATGACGGATAAATTGCCACTGTCCCTTAAAAGAAAGGTATATAACAGCTGTATCTTGCCGGTACTTAGCTACGGAGCAGAAACCTGGAGACTTACAAAAAGGGTTCAGCTTAAATTGAGGACGACACAGCGAGCAACGGAAAGAAGAATGGTAGGTGTAACCTTAAGAGACAAGAATAGAGCAGAGTGGATTAGGGAACAAACGGGTGTTAAGGATGTCATAATTGAAATCAAGAAGAGGAAATGGACATGGGCCGGGCATGTAGCGCGTAGACAGGATAACCGCTGGTCATTAAGGGTAACTATCTGAACTCCCAGAGAAGGCAAGCGGGTTAGGGGGAGACGGAAGGTTAGGTAGGCAGATGAGATTAAGAAGTTTGCGGGTATAAATTAGCAGCAGCAAGCACAGGACCGGGTTAACTGGCGGAACATGGGAGAGGCCTTTGTCCTGCAGTGGACGTAGTCAGGCTGATGATGATGATGATACTTTCCTTGGCAGAGTTTTTTGTTAGTTTTCATTAATGTGTCATACAACAAGAGCAACCACACCAGTGAGTAGCTCACCATACGAATCAGATTACACGTCATTGTAGAAACTGAGCAGAAGGACGCACATGATTTTATACACATCAGCATGTCGTCCATAACACTGTTAATTAACCAAAAAGTTAAAATCTACTGAGTTAAATGCTGGCAATCAGTTATGTTAGTGTATCATTTGTAGAAGCTATGATGATCAGCAAACTTTATTTAATTAGCAAAATTCCCTTTCAGGTGCGAGGGAGTGAAAACCAAACCTACACGAAGGCCATGATCCCATGGACCTTGGCGGCATCTTGGGCCTGCTGTATTAAGCGGGCTTGTGATTAAATGTTTTTACCATTTCTCGGAGTCACAGAAAATAAAAAATGAAGGGGGGGGGGGGGGCTTTATTATAACCTCGTCTATACTTCTCCAATCAACAAAAGTGGGAGCATCAGTTCTTTTATTTTCCACTTTGTCTCCAGTGTGCATTATTTCATGTTACGATTCTTTTCACAGTTTTACCTACACAGTCTTCTTTTTCTTCTTCACTTCAGTGGCTCTCAGACTGCACCACTACCTGCTATTTCATGTTATTTTGGGCTTCTGTTTTTCTACTTTGAACAATTTATTATTATTATTAAACCTCCTACTGAAGTTATGACTTAGGGATGAGTGCAAAACACAGTGGCTGTCCCCATCATGCACAAACTTTCAACTGTTTGAAGTATTTATTTACATTAAAGCATATATTATAATGCCTTAAACAAAAAAGTACAAATTATTAATTTTAAGTGCCACGACAGTCAGCACATGTATTTGAAGTAAATGTTCCCTAAAACCATGTTTCTACCAAAGAAAAGGTTATGTGTAATTTTTCTGACGAACAGTGATCATACACCAAGCCTTCAGATGGTGACACACAATCACATATGCACATTTAATGCAATATTCAGCCTCCAACCGATTTCTCGACACTACTGAAAACGAAACAAACAAAAAGATATGTTATTATCATAATGATGCTTTTCCGAGCAACAAAAACGGGCACCTCCTTTCCGAAAAGTGGAAACAACCAGAGTTATCCAAAGAACCAGAGTTATCCTATATGCCTGCTACCATATTCCCATCTCATTGGTACCGTGGAGTGACTTCAGAAGAGGCCTTGCAAGTTCAAAACAAAGCCGCCCCCATATGCTCCAGCTTTCGCAGCTGCGAGCAGCGGGTTGGCTCGGAGCACCCCCACCAAGCTGCAGCGATAAGTAGAAACAGCCCCCTGTGCTCAGAGCCTAAAGAAAGGAGTCGGCGCACTCTTCCAGACCGGCCATTGTGCACTCAACTACTGCAATGTACAGTGCAGCTCACTGTTACACAATTGAGCATAAAGAAAGGATTTATTTATTCATTCATTCATTTTTGGCATGCGTAAAAATGTTTGCTGTTGGAGCATGCGATATGAATTTTGCTACTGGTACCTGCACTTCCATCCAATGCACTGACAAAGCTCAAGCCAGAACTTGCAGCTGGAGTGCCCACAAAGTGGAAGCTCCCACATTAATGTCCTCCCTATAAAAGTGGACTGCACTGTGCACCAGATTAGGACCACACATGTTGACAACACAAACTATGTGGCCTTGACCATACTAACGAGGCAGAGCAGACGCGCACACACCCCTGTGATGCAGCACCCTGCCTTCATGTGCCCACTCTGGTCACACTGTTCAAAGATTACTGGGTAACAGACTGAAGGTCAGCAAAGAACCAGTTACAATGATCAGATAGTGTGGTTTCATTATTATCCTTATAAATGAATCACACTGTAGAAGCAGACAACAAGGACCCCCAAATAAAGAGACTTCAGGAGGAGCAAAACACGTTAGAAAGTAATAAAAGGCCTTGACAATCAAAATACTACTCTCTGTCTTGTCTGTGTACTGTTGCTATCTCTGGTGATGTCTCTCTGGTGACAATAGGCACTGAAAGACTATAAAACACAGTAAACTGCACCTCCATGCACGTATCTGTGGTTACACAAAGTCCTGGCAATGTTAGGTGTTCTCCAATGTAGGAGAGGGCTGAAATAATGCACATGTTTGGACAATGGTTAACGAATCTTCACTTTCCCCTCACACAGTTGAACAGATGCGAGAGTTACAACAATGACAGATGGCTTCTGATTAGGCTTGTGCGAATATTCGAATGCTTGGAATATTCGAACGAATATTCGAGTATTCGAATTCACTTTGATTGGAATTTGATTCACTTTGATTCACTTTGATTGGAATTCACTTTGATTGGAAGCCCCTATTTCAATTCAAAATAAATATTGTGCAGGTTAGTTAGGTAATGATAAATATTCCTTTTTTCTATATGTCCTACATACCATTCAAACTCAATTTGAAATTATTCGATCAAAATCCCCAATTGCTTCGAATTCGCTTCGAACCGAAAATTCACTATTCGCACAAGCCTACTTCTGATGAAGCACAAGAGCCAAAAAAAAACATTTTCAGGAAAACTAGATAAAAGAAAACACCCGAATTGTGCAAGACTTGGCCCAACGTGGCTTTCCTTGCCTTACATTCTGCACAGTAATGATAATTTAGAACAAGAAAGAAATAAAAGCATGGCCTACTCAAACCGACCCAGGACGTATTTGCAAAGCCAGTCTTCCCTAAATGTCATGCCACAAAGCTTGTCAAATGTAAAACCTCTTCAATGAAAAAAATAAAAGGGGGAAAAATATGAAGAAACATGTCACATGTACAAAGAATTAAGAGGAAGGTTGCCGGGTCAAAAAAAGGCCTTCTCAATTAGCATGCACAAGTCCCTGTGAGTGGGAGCTGTCATGAAATCAGACTTTGCTGCCTTGATAAAACTGGTTCCAAAGGCAAGGTAGGCAAGCTTGCAGAGGGGTCAAAAAGTCTTGGATGATCAGCTCTCTTCCAGGACTTTGATGACACACTGCATGCTCTTTGTGGCTCGATTTCCAAGTACGCCCTAGAAAGGGAGAGAGAGAAAAAAAAGAACCACATTAAATGTTACAACATTGAATATAGAGTTGAACCTTGATATACAGAAGATTAATATATAATACAGTCAATCTTATATATTTCAAATTATTGACTATATTGAATGGTTGAGAAGGCAAAATTATGGGGCTAGTGCACACGTATATCAAATTCCCTCACAGCGAAACATCCGCGTTATAGAATCCTGCACAGTGCCAAAGCCCAGTACGTGCATTTCTAAGGCAACAATCTTCTAGAATACTTGAGCTCAAAACTTTTGGTCCGTCTTTCAGTATGTCACGCAATGCAGCAACCCAGCCAAAGTTAAGCACTTGTTGAGCACCCAGCCATCTTGAACTGGTGACAGCGTTCATAGCTGTGTTCAAGTGTGCACGCACACATGCATGCACACACACGCACTCAAAGCTTGTTACAGTAAAACGGCGTGAATACGTACATACGAGGTCTGCTAAAAAAGTATCTGACCTTTGGAGGAAGAAAACAATCTGGCATAATTGGAGCATTGAAAACCTAATCCCCCTCCAACTAATCTTCTTGGGACTCCACCCACTTCTCCTAGTGGTGCTGCTAATATTGGAAGCATTCTGAGAAGGCCTCTTTGGGAATGTAGTTTAGCTAAGCTGTCGTTGCAGCCATAATGTCTCATCTGAAATCGCTTTACTTTCAATGTCCTTTTGAGTTTGGGAAACAGCCTGAGTTTGGGAAACATCCAGAATTCCCAGGAGGGCACACAAGGAGAGTAAGTAGTCTGTTGAATTTTTCTCCAAAGAAGGCTGAACCAAGTGTGACGAATGTGCAGGAGCATTGTCGTGACGTGCGGTTTCCTGTGTCCTAACGCTGTGTCCTAGCGACTGACACTATAGGCCAACGGAAAAAATTCACAAATTTATGCATGCGCACAAAGGTTCGCCGGCTGATGCAAGCGTGCTTGCTTCAAATTCAACAGGTGCTTGCAAAGAAATAATAACAATAAAGTTGGATACTTTTCCAACAGACCTTGTACATGCTGAGAGCCTGCCAGGAACGCGGCTAGCTCAGCATTAAACATAGTATGCATTAACCACCAAGTACATAAGTATGCCCAGGGTTCGTATGTGGGGGGAGGGGGGTGAAGGTTTGTTGCCATGCCACCCCCTCCCTACCATGTAAATGTACAAGACTAGTTTGCCACCCCCTCTCAACCCCCCCCCCCATATGCACGCCTATGACCAAGTGCCAATTTGCATTATTATCATTGTGCATTACATCTGTCATCACTGCTAAAGAAGAATTAAATACAGCGCCACAGCAAACATTGCCTAAAGTTCCCACCATGAAGTCATTTCTCTCTTTTTGCCAACGTTCGGAAATGATTGGCATTCTCGCTTGACCGTCTGGCAGCAACAGCACGCGGTAGCGACACCTAACAGCATTTTAAAACTACTGCAGAGTCCAGGATACGCAGCCAACACAGTGGGTGACTTGCCACAAAAAGGACATAACCGGCTGTCCCGATAAAAACGTACAATCTGCTACTCAGCGAAAACTGACAGTTTTATTTTTAGACGTGGTATGATTGCAGGGAGCCAACCGTCTATTGGCTAGTTGTGTGCAGCCAGTCACTTGCTTGGCGTACACACCATGCCGAGCAGCTTGCACCTACTCGCCTTGACCATGCACAGATGTGGCAAGAAGCATGCTGAGTCAATGTGACGAATCAAACTTCCAAGCAATGCTCTAGCGGTCCTAGCAGCGGGCAGAGGTGCATTCGGGCTGTCACCTCATGATAGCGTGAGCTACACTTGCTGTCTCGGTACTTGCGATCCACTACGAAACTCAGCAACAGCGAGCTGCTTTCATTTCTGCAAAGCAGTGCACGCTGAACACAGTCCCGCACAATGATTAAGGGGGCAGCGATCGGTGCCTCAGGTAGGCGCTGGGTATTAAAAGTGCGCAGTAGGCTTAAAGCGGCGCTGCGCCACTCACGTAGACTTTTTGTCTGTGATAAGTAATACTGGCACGCTTTTCAGTAGTCCAACATCACCTTCATTCTCTGCCAATGGTTACAGAAAAGGCACTGCCGTTATTGTGTGAAAATCGCAATAATTGATAGGCCGACTCAGTGCTTTCAGAGCTGTGCAAATGTACAAGTGGCGACCATCACGTAATATCCCCTCACAATGTGTGCTATTAACATTACTTTCGGTCAAAAGACCACCTTTGGTGCAGCAATGGTGCAAATTAGACACAAGAAGAAGACGCTTTTGGAGCCGCATGATGCAAAAATTTCCAGTTGGCACAGGTTTCCCACTACTGAGTGTGGTAACTTGCAAAAGAAGTTGTTGCCATGTTTTTCTTTTTTGCATATTGTGAGCAATCGTCATGTTAGTACTTATGCGATTTCCAAAAACAATGTCGAGGCCTGCAGTGCCTAATTAAAACCTTAAATATGCTTATTTTGTCTCTCAATTTTATGATGTACTGAACAATTTCGCAGTACCCTTCAAGTTTGATATATCTAGAATAGACTGTATTTCCTGATATAATGCAGTATTAAACCCTCTACCGCTATATGTCCCCAGAACACATTCTTAACCTTAAAATAACGAAGCACTTTTATCCACGACTTAAGTACAATTTAACCACCCCACAGCGGTGGTCTAGTGGCTAAGCTACTCAGCTGCTGACCCGCAGGTCGTGGGCCCAGCTGCAGTGGGTGCATTTTCCATGGAGGCGAAAATGCTGTAGGCTCGTGTGCTCCAAGTTTGGGGCACATTAAAGAATCCCAGATGGTCGAAATTTCCAGAGCCCTTCACTATGGCGTCTCTCATAATCATATGGTGGTTTTGGGACACTAAATCTTACATATCAATCAATCAATATACCGTATTTACTCGCATAATCGGCGCACTCGCATAATAGGCGCACCCCTAGTTTGGTCGCGGAAAATTCGATTTTTTTTAATTCCGCGCATAATAGGCGCACCCCGAACTTGGCCGTGATCAGAAACGATTCTACCCCCCAGCGGTACAGTTGGAACGTGGTCCCCGTACCCTGAAGAAAAAAAGAAGGCAAATCGACGAGCAAACAAAAAAAATTCGAAGTGCAACGACCTAAGCAACGTGTTTGTCGAAATAAAACTTGAAAAAAAAAAAAAAAAGCGTCCATGAGCGAAAAAAAAAACGGCTGTTCCATCAATTACTGACACCCCCAAAATCGCCGCGCTTTTTGGAGGTCACGTGTACAACGCCGGGGGCTCGATCGCCATCACCACCATCAGAGAAAAAGAAAGAAACGCCATTTTGCAAGCGGTGTGCGTATGTTGTGGTCGTGTATTGAACTTTGGTTCCACCATGGGGAAGTACGCGAGCTACACGGCTGGGTTTAAACTGAAGGCAGTGCAGTACGCGCTGGAGCACGGCAACTGGGCTGCAAGCAGGCATTTCGGCGTTGGAGAAACCAGTATTCGGTACTGGAGGGACCAAGAAGAAAAACTTAAGGCGACGAAGAAGACACGACGGGCTTTCCGCGGTGCCAAGACCGGCAGGTATCCGAACGTCGAAGAGCAACTGGTCCGGCATATACGGCAGCTACGACAAGACGGCTGTGCTGTGTCGTTGGATATTGTGCAGACTGAGGCGCGCAGAATAGCCCGAGCGCAGGGCATCGAAGCAAAAGAGTTCAAAGCCAGCTCCGGATGGACAACTCGTTTCATGCGGCGCCATGGCCTCGCACTGCGAAGGCGGACCATCTTGTGCCAGCGCTTGCCCGCAGCATATGAGGACAAAGTAGTGGACTTCCACAGTTTTGTTATAAAGCTCCAACAGCAGAAAGACTTCATTTTGTCCCAGATCGGCAACGCTGATCAGACCCCCCTTTGCTTTGATATGCCGTGGAACACGACAGTGGAGGAGAAAGGTGCATGGAGCGTCATCGTCAGAACGTCTGGCGCTGATAAACAACGATGCACCGTAATGCTGGCGGTGACAGCGGATGGGCGTAAGCTACCGCCTTACGTTATTTTTAAACGTAAGACGCTCCCAAAGGCAAAATTCCCTCAAGGCATCTATGTCAGAGTCCAGGAAAAAGGCTGGATGAGCGCGGAACTCATGGTGGATTGGGTGAAAACAGTCTGGGGTCGGCGGCCGGGTGGTCTGTTGTTGCCGTCCATGCTTGTCCTGGACAGTTTTCGTGGGCACCTAGTATACCGCGTACGAGATGAGCTAAAGGAGCTGCGCACAGATCTGGCAGTGATTCCGGGCGGCCTCGCATCGATACTGCAGCCTTTGGACGTGTCCTTGAATAAACCTTTCAAGGACAATGTTCGAAGGCTGTACACCACCTGGATGGCTGGAGGACAACATCAGCTGACTACAGGTGGTAAGATTAAGAGGCCGCCTGTGGAAATGCTGTGCGCTTGGATCGTGGAAGCGTGGCAGGCGATCTCCGACGAAGTCGTCAGGAAAAGCTTCAAGAAGACGGGTATCTCGAACGCACTGTATGCGAGTGAGGATGACATGTTGTGGGGTGCGGATGATTCGGACAACGAAAACGAATCCCCGCTCGGCGAGGATGAATGTGTGATCTCCAACTCGGACTCTGAATAGGGAAAAAGAGGAACAGCTACGACTTTTATGTAAATAAATTTTACGTGTATGTGTGCAGTTGACGGCTCTCGCTTGTTCATTAAAAGGTACGTGGGTATGTTTGTTTTATGCTGAATTAATTGGTAAACGATAAAGTCGCCTTTTACTTGACAAGTGTGCAGATTTAAAGCGCGAGGACCGAGTTGAAAAAATTTTCGAAAATTTTACCCCGCGTAATTGGCGCACCCCTAACTTCGAGCCGGATTTTCTGAAAAAAAAAAAGTGCGCCTATTATGCGAGTAAATACGGTAATTTAACCTCCCTATATAAGAGACACTTACCAACAGGGCTTGGTAAGAAAAAGAGCACATGTTACCCTGCTCATAAGAGACACCTCACATATACGAGAAAAAGAACTGACTGAATGCAGCTGCATGTCTTCTATAAAGGGGTTGAACTACATAACAGTTTTCCTGCTGCAAAAAAAAAAAAAAGACTAAGGCAATAAATTCGAACTTCTGCTGATGCCAGTGTCAGATGGTTGCATTATGCATGATTGAGCATGTTATTCAAAATGTGTTGTGTGTCCGAGAGTAGCCACCAAGGTGGAACCCAGTCTTCATTGGCAGAGCTTGGGGGATGAGAAGGGGTAACCTTAATGCTTCCCTTTTCATCTCTCAAGCTGGGGAGAAATGGCCTATTTCTGTTGAACGAAAGCCTAAACGAAAGCCTAGCAGTGACTGAAATTTGTGACACTGTATTGGGTCTCGCTTGACTCTTCGTACAAGTGCATATGGTATACATAAAACAGAAACCATGATCAATACTGTTTTTCAATTGGCGCATACAGTCGAGCCCGCTTATAACAAACCTGAGCCTGACGCGCATCTGTTCGCTGTATACCCAAGCTCGTAGTAAATGAAACACAGCTTTTAAAAAAGTTGTGAGTGAAAACACAAACTTTTTTTTTTCAAGTCCATGATGCATGTGTTTTGAAGAGCAGAAGTGATAATGGCGGCCTCGAGTTTATTTCAAATGGCAGCGTGCTCGTTCACCGAGGCCCGTGGCATAAGCTGCATGAGGCACTGGCTCCAAAGTTTTGTCGTTCTCGCAATCCGATTCCTCCGAATCATTCTTGCTGCATACTTCATTCACAATGCCCTAATCCGTGCAAGGTTCCACAGTGTCGATCATCATCGGCCGTAATTAAACCATCGCAACAGATGTCCCACCTGCTTTCCCATGTCAGAGTCGATGGCGCGCTTCCACAAATCGCTGTCACAGTGGTTCTGTTTGGAAGCTTCAGGCTCGGCATCTAGACCGACGTCAACGACGAAGTAGCCCTCGCGAAAACAGTTTCCCATGCATGTAGCTGTCACCACCGCCCACGAAATATTCCCCATCTCCACAGTTGAATACCCAAACGCCCGAAGTGGCAAGTTGGCTGCCAAGTGGTCAACAGCTACGAGCACACGGCACCTAATCCATGGATTACGCTCAAGCCAAGCGGTCACATTTTCAACGTTTTGTTGAGCAGCAGAAAAAAAGCGCGCAAGACCTCCCGTCTGCTACCATCGTGACCACACACGCACACCAAGGGTGAGCAAAACGTGCGCACACGACGCATATACCAGAACGCGTGGAACAGTTCTAGGCCCGTTTCTAATCAGAAAATGAAACTAATTCGAGCCAGCATGGCTGGCGTCGCCGAGCGGTGGAGACCGGCGTAGGGGTTGTGATAAGAGAGAAAAGCAGATTTGCGAGAGAAGGGCAAGGAGTTGTGATAGAGTGAAGAGAGAGAAGGACACGGCGGGAGGGCGACCTTGAAGACCAAAACACGGGGGCAGCAGGCAGGTCGGGTTGCTTGCTTGAAAGGTCCGCGAAACGCGCAACTCGTGCGTAGAAAAACTTAAAAGAGTGCCTGCACATGCAGAAGTCGAAGCACAGCGGCCTGGACCAGCGCGCGCGGCAGTGTTCAAAGAATTGTCGGCCGTGGTAAAAAAATCGTTTTGTTGGGCCGGCGGGTTTGCGTAGCCTTACTGACTTCGATATTTTGTGGTTTGTTTCGCACAAATGAACAGCTGTTTTCGCGTTTTCGCATGCATGCAAAGGGCATGCTGAGCTGAGTGCGAAATGTGTAAGAACAGGTCATAAACACGAACGTAATTGCAAATTATCAAAGTCGGTGGGGTAGCATAGGGGCGTGCACTAGACGCAGACGATCGGATACAGTCGGTGGCCGACGATATTGGCAAATGGCCAGGTCACTCCAGGCCGGCGACGCCAACGACAGTACCAGCGAAAAAATAAATAGGGGAGATGGCCCACCAGTCTTTGAAAGATCGGTGGCAGTGTGAAAACACGGGCCTCGCCTGGCGATGCGAGGTGCTTAGAGTAGCAGGGAGACAAAGGATGGCGGGGTGTGTAACAAAAAGCAGTCAGGGAGAGCGGCAACTAGAGGGGCGCGGAGGCAGGGTCGCCGTTTAACAATAAGAATGCATGGGCACCTCGCCGATGCCTGATCGGTGGTCGAAAGTGGTTTCCTGAGAAGTCGGCAGAGCGCCGACCCCGTTCACTGTAAACGATCGGCGGCGCTCTGAAACGTTCGTTGTAAGTGCGATTTTGTGCCATTGAACCAATGTAACTTTTTCACAGTTGTGCAGATATTGTTTGTTCTACGTGGAAGTTCGTTTTAAGAGGGGCCGTTATATGTGGACTCGACTGTATGTCTCATGTAATTTCAGACCAAATGCTGTCTGCCGTGTTGTGCTGTCTGCCGTATTTCGATGTTGCCCGTTCATCAGGCCATGTGGAGAGCAAGTGGCTCAATACAGTGAACACAGCATGCAGTGTCATGCCACTCTGAGCAATACTACAGCTTCTAATGAGTTGTGGGAGAAGAAGTACCATAGCTTTGTTTAAACTAATTGCTTAGTTACACTGAACCTTCCTTTCTTCTAACTTTATGCATGCTGTACAGAAGCTGCAAAAAGGACTTCATTGGCGCGGCATCATGTGGTCGCCAAACCTACATTTCAACAAAACTTTTGCTTATGTTTGTCTTTTTTTCAATAATGCCCTTTTATTTAAACCTTTTTGTGGTACTTTTCATGTGAAGGCGAATCAGTCGGTGGCTGCCAAATATACTCCCGTATTGATTTGAATATTGTCATCAAAATTTGACTTTTCTTTTCATTTCCTGCATAATGATGGCACACCAAAAATTGGTACCCAACAGCCATAAATTTTCCAGATTTCCGCAAGCGAAAGCACGGTTTTTGAGATGTATATATTGTTGTGACTCTCATCCCTGAGCGCCATGCTGGCCATGAGAAGGACATCGACTTCTCACCCAGAGCGGCTGGCGACTGCTGGAGTTATGGAGAGAACCAGCGTGTGACTGGCGACCAGCACACCTATCAAGGCAGAGACTGAGTGGTGCACGTACATCCAACCACAGCGGAATATTGGTTCCACTAACTGCTGACTGGAAGCGACACCAGAGCAGAGAGGAAGATATGCAGTTCAAGAAACCTGAACTTGGTGCAACACCGACCGTGACGACCAGTTGAGCCGGAATTGAGAGTGACGGCTTTTTACGCTCGGACATTGACTTCTGCGTGATGTGCGTGACTCGTGTGCTGCGTGCGTGATGTGGCTGCCAATGCAGCCACATCACGCACATAAATTGCAATTTCTGGGAGATTTTCATGACAACCATACAAACGGAAGAAATGGTCGAAATCCGTGAGTCTCCCGGCAAATCTGGGAGACTTGGCAGGTATGCATGTTATATGATAGAAATTATTTACAATTATTACAAATTAAGATATGACTTAAATAAAATTTAATGTATATTTTTCTTAAAATTGACTGTACAAGAAGAGTAAAAAGAGTAAGTGTTTTCTTGCATTTTTTCTCAAAGCATGACTGTTCGTGGACCTTACAGGGTTAATCTGCCTTCTTCGGAGTAGTGCACGTTTGTGCCACGTAATTTCTTAGGCATTATGTGTTCACTGCTGTGGGGCAGCAATGACCATCACTGCCTATATTATTAGTTTTTCGAATATAGGACGCCCGGATAATACAATAAATTTGTGTCGTCCCCTGAAAGTCGTCGAATCGAGGTACCACTCTACTAGTTTTCAGATGCAATACTTACCGTAAGATTGACAAAATTGTGAAATTTCTTAAGTGCATTGGCCAATAGATCAAACTTGCCCTCTGATGAAATTTCCCGCAACTTTTCAGTCAATTCCTGCAAATAGAAATGCCAAGGCATTAACAAACAACTCTGTACTTCATCTATAATGCATTAGAAGTGCACGCTCATGCCATATATCATAAGCAAGCAAACCACGAAATTCTTGGCACACAAGTTCCATCCCTTAAGCGCCACAGTGCAGCCTTGTTAATAAAAGACACAGGTTAGGGTAAAATATAGGGGTGTGCGAATACAGTGATACTACTGAGGTCTTGTGATTTGGGGCAATTTTCGGAGCAGTGAAATTGTCAGCTTGGAGCATTTTGCAGCAGCAAAATTTTCCATTCTGTAGCACTTTAGAGCAACAAATTTCTATTCTGGAGCACTTTGGAGCAGGTAATTTTGCATCTGGGAACATTCCGGAGCAGATAACTTCACATTCTGAAGTACACTGGAGAAACAAGTTACATTTACAATCAAGCACATTAATTAATACTGTGGGGCTCTTGTTAAGAGTTAGAATATTTCGATTCATTGCAAATTTCATGCAGCCAATCATCTCAGGAGCCCTCCCTATTTCACTCGATGATGCAACGATGGTGCCGTCATGCATTTGAGCATCCTCTAACAACTTCAGTGATTATTTTTGTAGCAAAATTATAAAATACTGGTTTAATAAAATTGTACTTTATCAAATAACATTCTAAATGCACAAATGTGGTTATCAGCAAACATGGTCTTCCTTGTTGTTCGCTATGAAAGAGCAACACCACCCCTATCAGTTTCCGCTGTTAGACACGAGATGTACAACGGCAGCGGCAAACGTAAGCTCAAAAATATAACAATCGAGCAGAAGTCAGCAACGTTGACAGCCGTTAAGACCGGCGGCCAGAAAAAAAGTGGCCGAAGATTTCGGCGACGTCGCCAGTGGGTGCCACGGGCGACCAGGCCCCGACGTGGGTAGACGCTCTCCTTGACGCCGGCGTTGTGCCTGATTGAGACTTTTCCTGCACGTACGTCGGTGCCGATGCTGACGCAGAAACAACCGAAGAGTTGTCAGATGAGGATATTGTGCCCGCGGAGACAAGGGTGCATGACGACAGTAATGAATGTGTCGACAACCCGGAGCCTAATGTTGGCGAACCCGAGGTACTAATGCCTCCACAAGCGCTGGATGTGACAGACCTGCTCCGCCGCTCCTTTGGTGCTCATGATGAAGGCAAGGATAGGCTCTAAATAGCTACTGCAGCTGAAAAAGCAGTCATCCGCATGAGGAACAGTCGGCAAAAGTCTATCAAGAACTCTTTTTCTTCGAAGTAATCTGCCAGCTGGTGTGATAAAGTGCATTGTTCTTTATTATTTTGCTGATTTATCCTCATCCGATGGCTCTTTTTCTCTGCACAGCGGGCTGCTGTGATATTTGGTGGCGAGTACATTCTCTCTTGCTCAGTAATTGTCGGCAGAAATGAATATTGGCTATAACGAACTAACAGCTATAGCAAAGTAATTATGACTCCCCCTTCAACTTTATTATAACGAGGTTTGACTGTAGTGGAATCTCTAATATAGGTCAGCTGGTTTTGCGATGCCCCGCATTTTACGACGAATCAATTTGGTGAAAATGGCGTTATTGGCAGCATTGCTGAATGGGATGAAAAACATGCGGTATTAAGGGCTGCTAAAGACTGACCTCGCAGTCACGTGTGGGGCCCCGCATACAAAAGAAGGATACAGTGATGCACTGGCTGACATTGGTATTTTTTAAATTCTTTTGCACATTATAGGCAGCGACAATGCATACTGCATATCTGCCCATTATTTTTTCCTTCTCTAAGGAGTGGAAGTGAGTGTCAGTCTTTTGGAGCAGCTTCGAGAGCAGAAATAATGGAGCAGTAAAATTTAGTTTCGGAGCAGACTTCTAGGGTCACACATCACTGTTAATTAGAATTTTCGCTTTCTGGTAAACACAAGAAGTTTCAGCGGCATTTACTAAGGATGCAATGGTGATCAAGTAACCAGACTTGTCCCAAATTGACATATATTAAACCTTACAGAAGGGTGCAACAACACGTATATAATTTGGAGCAGTTTTTGGAGCAGTGAAAGGTTACTTTTCGAGCACTAAAATCCAGATTTGTAGCAGGTTACAGGGAAAAGTGTCCATTCTTTATCACGAAAGACTAAATTTGGAGCAGTATGAAAAAGAAGGCCTGCAGTTAGAAAAAAAAAATGTACAAACCATTCAACATTTCTTAAACCATGTAGAGTGAATATGAGAACTGCTATTTAAATAAAAGTAGTATTATGAACCACCTCCCTCAGCAAACAATGTTGAAGTCCACATTATTTATTTACTTTTATTTTATTTATTGGATACTGCAGGCCAAGAACTGGTACAAGCAGGACAAGTACAAAAGGCAGGATATAAACAAAAACACATGTGAAAAAATAAGAATATATCACGAGAAATGGAATCGAAACACCAACTAATAGAACACATAAAAGATAACATGGCAAAAATGTTACATTTTATGGATACATAACATAAAATTAACAGTGCGTAGATTAGCTCTAAGCAAAAGAAAATTGGCTAAGATCAGTTAGTCAGTTTCACTCTGACACAGTACGCGAAAAAAAGGAAAATCGAAACGCGTTGGTTTTAGCGAAATACGGGGTTAAAGAATGGGTGTGATGATGACGTGTATGCCTAGTGGACAGAGGAGATACATATGCACGCGGGTCAAGGGCTAGTAACTTATAATTAACAAGAAGATACAGAAGGTTAAGGCGGTTACTTTTTTGCCGTAGTTCAAGTGTTTCAATGTTGTTAGCAGTCATAAGTTCAGTCGGCGAGTCCGTAATTTTAAACTTTTAATAAACAAACCTAACAGCCTTTCTTTGCACTGCTTCTAGTTTTTTGATGTTAGATTTAGTAAAGGGGTCCCATACAACACAAGAATATTCTAGTTTTGGTCTTATGTACGTAAAGTAGCTAAGTAGTTTTATGTCAGAAGGAGAATTTCTAAGCTTATGTTTTAGAAAACACACCTTACAGAAGGCAGCAGAACATACGTTGTCTATGTGTAAGTTCCAAGAGAGGTCATTAGTTATTGTTACGCCTAGATATTTGTAGTTGTTAACCTGTTGTAGTGATGATGAGCCGAGGTTATAAGTAAAATGTAGAGGTGTTTTTGAACGAGTTATACAAAGTTTTTTGTGCGTTGAGTGCCATACCATTGTCATTGCACTAGTTTAGTAAGTTATTAAGACTCAAGTTCAAGTTCTGCTGATCACTAGAACAGGTAACTTGACGAAATAGCACACAATCATCTGCGAACAGTCTGATTTGAGTTCCTGGTAGTACTGCGTTTACAATGTCGTTTACATAAATGAAAAATAATAGCGGCCCCAGAACGCTACCCTGTGGCACGCCTGATGTTACAGGAAGAGAGCTCGAATTGTTCCCATCTACTGAAACAAACTGTGAACGTTCTGTTAAATAGTGTTGGATACAGGCAATGAAAATGTCGGGTCGATTGATGTCCTTTAGTTTTGTAAGTAGTTTGTGATGAATAATTTTATCAAATGCCTTACTAAAATCAAGGAATATGACGTCCATTTGTCCATTTTTATCCAAAGTTTCTGAAAATGAATGAACCACTTCGACTAACTGAGTTATGGTTGAATAGCCTTTTCTAAAGCCATGCTGAAAACTAGTTAGTATAGAGTATTGTTCGAGGAATTCCACAATGCGCTTAGATATTACATGTTGAAGCATTTTACATATTGGTGATGTTAATGAGATGGGACGGTAGTTTTCTACGAGTAAATGGTTTCCTTTCTTATACACAGGAACAATACGAGCCCTCTTACAATCACTGGGTAGTTTTGCACTCAACAGCAAACATCGAAAGATCACAGTGACAAATTGAGCAATACTCTCTGCATAACGGCGCAGAAAAACATTAGGGATATTGTCTGCACCACAAGATGATTTAGTGTTCAACTTCAAGATCATCGCAACAACACCAGAATATGATATAAAGTCCACTTCATTAGGTTGAAACACTCTTTGCTGAGGCGTATTAGGACTAGCCTTAGCGAACACGCTGTAATAAAAAAAACTTTGTAATGAAAACTTATCTTACAGGTCTGAGTGTACATATTTACAATTAGGGTGTCAGGTAAGTTAAGAAGTTTAGATTTTGCTACGTGAATTATTTTATCATTAGAGCTTTTGGACAAGGCCAATTTCAGACATGTAATTGACTAATGACAGTGATATCTGACGCTGTACTGCTTCGGCTGTTAGAAAAACTGAAGAGGCGGATCTTTGGCAAAGGCTGTTCATAGACATTGGAGAACCCTCTTCATTACCATATCACATTTCGTCATTCAAAGCGTGGGGTTATAGGACTCAAGGGAGAACTGCAAGTGTCATACTGGCTAACAGAGAGCACTATAGAATCATTACTATTTACTTTAAACTCTCAGCACTTTCAATGCATCAACACCCTCATACATCGCCTCATGGTCTTGTTTTAGTGCCCCTTCACTACATACAGCTGCCTTTAAAATTCACTAGAAGCTACACAATTTTTGGAGTTTAAATAGTTACCTTGTTATTCTGCACAGCACAGCCAAGGAGCAAGGCAATGTAGGCACACACTATGCTATGTTCCATGTGCTTGCCAGCTTTCTGAAGTGCTGCAATCAAAAGAATACAACACATTTGAGGTTAGAATACTTACATGACTAGCACATATGGCATGCAAATCCTAAATAACAGTTTTGAACTTAAGAAATAAAAAAATATATAGCCAAGTACAGAGGATTTCTAATACTTGCGACAACTAAAATTGTCAGCTAATTAAAAAAAATTTCAAGTTTTCGAGTGTATACAGTAGAACCTCTTGTAAAGTGAAGTGGGACATAACAAACTAATGAATATAACGAAGCAATTGTAATCCCGCTTGAATTTTCCATAGACGTCCATGTATTTAAAACCTCGTATCATCAAAGAAATATTCCTCACAATAAATATAACCAACCATTCTTTGTCCACAACGAGCATTTACTGATCATGTTGGTATACTTCAATTCAATATCTCATAGCACGCAACGGTTTACGTCTCATCACGGCTGCAGTAAATCAGAACTCGCGCCTTGCACTCCCCCGAAGCCGCCTGCGAACACGTGCGTGGGTGCAAGTCTCCCTGCCTCCCCTTTCCTCAGGAACTAACGGACTCGTGTGTGCAGCAACTCGCACGAGCGTGCGCGTCAGCCGGCCTCTTCTCTCCTGTAGTCTGTAGAACTCGTTGACCTGCCCGCGCATCTGACCTCCTTCTCCCCTTCAGCTCCGTGCCGGGATGGCGGAGATTGTGGCTTTGTTCCTTGTTGTTCGGTATGAAAGAGCAACACCACCCCCTATCAGTTTCCGCTGCTAGACACGAGATGGACAACAGCAGCGGCAAACGTAAGCTCAAAAATATAACAATCGAGCAGAAGTCAGCAATGTTGAAAGCCGTGACCGCAGATTTAGGCAATGTCACCAGTGGGTGCCGCAGGCGACCAGACCCTGAAGTCTGAAGACGCTCTCCTTGACACCGGTGTTCTGTCTGAATGCGACACTTTCTGCACGTAGGTCGGTGACGATGCTCACGCAGAAACAACCGAAGAGTTGTCAGATGCGGATATTGTGCCCGTGGTGACAGGGGTGCATGACGACAGTGACGAATGTGTCGACAACCCGGAGCCTAATGTTGGCGAACACTGCGTACTGATGCCTCCGCAAGCGCTGGATATGACAGACCTACTGCGCCGCTCCTTTGGTGCTCATGATGACGGCAAGGATGGACTCTAAATAGCTGCTGCAACTGAAAAAACAGTCATCCTCATGAGGAAGAGTCGGCAAAAGTCTATTAAGGACTCTTTTTCTTCGAAGTGATCTGCCAGCTGGTGTGCTGAATTTGGCATAAATAAAGTGCATTGTTTTTAATTATTTTGCTGATTTTTCCCAATCCGATGGCTCTTTTTCTCTGCACGGCAGGCTGCTGTGATATTCGGTGGTGAGTACATTCTCTCTTGCTGACTGATTGCCGAACTAATGCTTATAGCGAAATAATCATAACTGCTGTCACAGAACGAGCGCTCAAAAAGGGCGCGCCGCCAAATTCTCGCGACGAACCGCCGAAGTGACGCCGCGAGGTCAACGAAAAAGAAAGAAAAAGAAAAAAAAAACATCTAAAGGCTCCCCGGGCGCGCGAGCCTCTCCTCTCGGAAGCGTGGCTTCGCCGACGAACCTCCTCACCCCACAACGGCGGCCGAGCAAGCACTGGAAAATTCTAGAAGGAAAGGGGCGTGTTATGCCGGGTTGAGTCATCTGTCGGGGACGGCCCTCGTACAGTCTTGCGCTATCCCCCAGCCTTCGCTGCGCATCGCGCCGACAAAATGAGGAGAACTTTCTGGAATGTCGTGCGGAAGGTATTTAACCGAGCAGCGGAGACGAGAGATCAGGAGAAGACGGAAGTTAGCGCCAGAGCGCGTAGGGTATCCCGCCGTGTAGTTGGCGAAGGTTTTGTCTGTAGGGACAAAGCAGGAGAAGACGTGAGGTTTCCTGGAAGAGAAACTTCGGAGGAGAAGACGGAAGTTAGCGCCAGAGCGCGTAGGGTATACCGCCGTGTAGTCGGCGAAGGTTTTGTCTGTAGAGACAAAGCGGGAGAAGATGATTTCCACCTGAGGGGTGACGACTCGAGCTACAGGCAAGAGCGTTTGTCTACCGCTATCGAGCGAAGACGCGTGGCAACAGCTGCGTGTGTGAAGCCGACGTGTTTCCGGCGAAGAAGTTTGAATCTTGGAGAGTGGCCTATTGAAGACGTGAGGTTTCCTGGAAGAGAAACTTCGGCGAGGTTTCCTGGAAGAGAAACTTCGGGGGCTGCGGAACGACAACAACGCGGGACTTTGAGTGAGTGATTCTCGGAAGAGTATCATCCAGACTTTTGTTCCAAGAACTTTGGACTATTCATGAATAAGTTTTCTATCTCTTTAGTCTTTAAGTGTCTTGGTTGTTCAATGCATGCGACTGCATTGTAGTGCGTATTGTTGTCTGTGTCCGTTGTTTCGAGTGTGGCTGATTGTACTGTGTAGTACGTTGTTTGTTTGGTGACATATTGTACTCAACTATTGTGGAGTGTGCATTCTTGTGTATTGTTTGTTTTCGATCTGCCATTTTTGAAAATATAATTTTGTTTTGGTTATCAACTCTCGGCTCTGACTTGTTCTTTGGGCCACAGCCGGCGTCCGTTGGCGCGCCAAAAAGGACCACTTCTAAATTGTCCACGCTTTCGTGGTGCGGTTCGGGGGGCCGATACTTCGGCCCTTGGAATTAGCTCGGCGATCGCCTCCCTAATTAACGGGATGTGTGACAACTGCCCCTTCAACTTTGTTATAGCGAGGTTTGACTGCAGTAGAATTCTCGAACATAGGACTGTTAGTTTTGCGACGACTCGCGTTTTATGGCGAATCAGTTTGGGGAAAATGGTGTTGTTGGCAGCATCGCTGAATGGCAAGAAAAACATGTGGTATTAAGGACTGCAGAAGACTGATCTCGCTGTCACGTGTGGGGCCTTGCGTACAAAGGAAGGATACAGTGATGCACTGGCTGACATTGGCATTCTTTTTATTATTTTGCGCATTATAGGTAGCGACAGTGCATACTGCACGTCTGCCCATAATTTTTCCTTCTCTCAGGAGTGGAAGTGGGCTTCAATCTTTTGGAGCAGCTTTGAGAGCAGGAATAATGGAGCAGTAAAAAAGGAGCTTTGAAGCAGCTCTGGAGCATTATAAGTTGAGTCTTGGAGCATCAAAATTTAGTTTTGGAGCAGACTTCTAGGGTCACACATCACTGTTAATTAGAATTTTCACTTTCTGGTAAACACAAGAAGTTTCAGCAGCATTTACTAAGCATGCAATGGTGATCAAGCAATTAGACTTCCCCCAAATGAATATATATTTAACCTCACAGAAGGGTGCAACAACAGGTATATAATTTGGAGCAGTTTTTGGAGCAAAGAAAGGTTACTTTTCGAGCACCAAAATCAAAATTTGGAGCAAGTTACAGGGAAAAACGTCCATTCTTTATCACAAAAGGCTAAATTTAGAGTAGTATGAAAAAGAAGGCCTGCAGTTAGAAAAAAAAATGTACAAACCATTCAACATTTCTTAAACCATGTAGAGTGAATATGAGAACTGCTATTTAAATAAAAGTAGTATTATGAACCACCTCCCTCAGCAAACAATGTTGAAGTCCACATTATTTATTTACTTTTATTTTATTTATTGGATACTGCAGGCCAAGAACTGGTACAAGCAGGACAAGTACAAGAGACTGGATATAAACAAAAACACATGTGAAAAAATAAGAATATATCACGAGAAATGGAATCGAAACACCGACTAATAGAACACATAAAAGATAACATGGCAAAAATGTTACATTTTATGGATACATAACATAAAATTAACAGTGCGTAGATTAGCTCTAAGCAAAAGAAAATTGGCTAAGATCAGTTAGTCAGTTTCACTCTGATACAGTACGCGAAAAAAAGGAAAATCGAAACGCGTTGGTTTTAGCGAAATACGGGGTTAAAGAATGGGCGTGATGATGACGTGTATGCCTAGTGGACAGAGGAGATACATATGCACGCGGGTCAAGGGCTAACTTATAATTAACAAGAAGATACAGAAGGTTAAGGCGGTTACTTTTTTGCCGTAGTTCAAGTGTTTCAATGTTGTTAGCAGTCATAAGTTCAGTCGGCGAGCCCGTAATTTAGGCCTGCATTTAGAAAAAAAAATGTACAAACCATTCAACATTTCCTAAACCATGTAAAGTGAATATGAGAACTGCTATTTCAATAAAAGTAGTAGTATTATGAAACACCCCCCTCAGCAAACAATGTTGAAGTCCTCCCCATTAGCATTTAGCACGCCTGTAAAATCCTTTAACAGTCTCTGAGGACTCGAATGTGAATATGCCAAGGTGGCGATCTTGAAATTTGAGATATTCGTAAAACTGAGAAATAGAGCTGGCAAAAAAAAAGAAAAAATGTTGCTCAGTTTTGTTTGATTTTTTTAGGTCTGCAGATATGTCATACAGTCCCCCAAATGATTGTCAGTAACATTTTAGACGTCAGCGATCGTATTAGTACTTACAATTAGGCGGCGTACACCCGCATGAGTAACTGAGGGAACTGTACTGTGTTCTGAGATAACAGCCCCTTTCAAATATTATGATGCCTTTCCTAGTGTACTGCTGCGAAGGTGGCTTAAGCGGCATTGTGTAGCAGTTCAGGCGAAGAAATTTTGAACTGCTAGACTCACCCCCCCCCCCCCTTTTTTTTTCACGTTGGGTTTAGGCTTAGGACACAACTTCTCGTCTCGCTTGCAAGACGCGTTTGACTAAAGTAACGATGGTATGCGCTCATTGGCCTGGCGACGACACAAGATATTTATAGCATGTGCCAATGCTACGGCAACTAACGTGGTCACCAGTAACACCGGCGTTTGCAACACATCGAGTTTTTTCGCACGCAATAACAGCAGCATAAGATTCCAGCTTTAGTTCATAACATGCCATAGCCGCATTTGCCAACTATGAAATTCATATTTCCCGCGAAGTGTTACTGGCTACGGCAATGCATTTCTGTCTT